GTATCTGCTCGCAAATAGAGTGCGAGTGTGTTTAAGTGCTTAGTGTTAATTAATTGACTGTGTCCGGGATGTTATTTTAGCATGAAGTTGACTGAGCAGGTTTTTCTACCATACAAGTTTTCTACCAGTAAATCATAAAATATTTATTAGTACTTATTCTTCTAACAGTAAAATGTGTAGGCAACTTGAAGAATTAACGGTAATTGGTAGGTTTGGAAGGAAGAGTTTTCAGAGACTTGTATAGTCGTCATCGTATCTTGTTGGAACTTTTATTTTTTTTTTCTTCACTTGGTAAATATATAATTTAAAAATGAAATACTTCTGTTATCCATTTTCTCAGAGTTTTGGGAAAAAAATAGATGTACAAGCCTTACGAAGTCAACATGTAATGTGTATTTCTGTTTAAAATATTAACCTCTTTTCCTTTAGTTGAAGTTTTTACTTTATTTTTCAGGCCGTGGCTTCACTACCTGAAGATATGAGACCTGGTCCTGATCTGTATGGTTTCCCTTGGGAAATGGTGATTTGCGCTGGCGTTGTGGGAGCTTTTACAATTCTCTTGTTCCTATATAGAAGCTATCAATCAGTAAGTGTTGATATTACATGCGAGTATGTAGAGTGCGTTAGTGGTTTGAATTGAAATTGCTATTCTGTTCAAGATACATAACCCTTCAGAGTTTTAAATATGTTGTGGTTGAATTTAGAATCCCTCTAAAGGAGAAATTGAGAAGTAGTCTGTTTTATCAAGGGAGTGTTTGGACATGTACTGAGTGACTGTTGTCATTAGAGGAAGTTCAATGAAACTCGCTGTAGTAAGGCTTCCTTTTTTCTTCGCTTTTTAATTTCTGCACCAGACTTTCAATGTCAGCCCTTAAATTATTTTCACGGGATCTAGAGGTCTTCCGTAGGGCATATGTATTGCTGTGCATATTGGGTATCTCTGTGACTACGCTGGCTATGGCCAGACCAGCTCAAGGTAGTTGTAAGCAAAAGCAATCCAGATGGATTCCCGTCAAGGGAGGCATTTTAAAACTTTTTGGACAGTGACCTTGATTCTGTTTATTGGAACACTGAACCAGTTTTACTGTGTGCTGTTTGTAAGCGCTAAGCTCATGACTTTGACAAACGCAGTACTGAAACCTTTTCATGCACAAATCGGACTATATTTTTGCGGTAAGGGTTGTCTTCTATTGTGAGTAAGTAAGAATCTGAGTAATAACGGCTGCCCACCATACTCTCCCTGCTAATGAAATGGGGTCAGTATTCTAAGTTTCTCCCCAGTTTTTGCATACTCTTCAATAGACAGAATGTGATTTTGGTGCTAGGTGTGATGATACTTATGTTTGAAGATAGATTGCTTGGTGGTTTAGTTTTTCAGATATAAGCAACTGCATTTTTAGGGTTCTAACGTCAACTTAAATCTGGAAAAATGCCACCTTATTCTGCAGCAGCAATTCAGATTGTCTGGAAGGGGATCTGTATTCCTGTAATTTAATGTATCTATAACTTGGAGCCATTCCTTCTGTTTTCTAGCAGCATATCTCTAGGTGGTATGAAAGAGATGTTTCAACTTCTTCAATTGATCAAGCAGCAACTTCAGTATTGTTTTCCTCCTGTATATGTCACTGAGGCATTAGATATTACACAAGTTACTGATAGCTTTTTCAGTCATCCATACTTAGAACTGCACTGACTATTCTTTGAAGAGTTAATAGTAACTTACTGAAAAGAAACGAGGTTTGGTTTTGGGGTTTTTTGGGGGCATGATAGGATAAGGTGTGCATATTACTTTCTTCCTCTTTTTCTATTACTTGAACTCCTTGGCCATCCCATGGCTTCAAATGAGGAGGAAACAGGGAAAATCTGAGAGACTCCTTTTATATTAGGCACATGATCCAGGCCCACCCTTGAGAGGAACCCTGTGTTGTAAAGCTTTTGTGATTCAGCCAAGTTCTGCATCTCTTATCCAGGCGATTTGTGACAGATTTTGTCCTGCAGTTTGTTAGATTTTGATTCTAGGGTGCTAGACCCCATGTGGCAGCTGCTGATTTGGCACTTCCCACTGAACTGCATCTGGGAAGGATGCCCATCAAGTAGTGCCCATACTGCAGCTCTACCTGTTACATATATACAACGTGTGGGGTTTTTTTCTCTTAGGAAGTTAAGTCTGAGCTGGCATGTGGAGCCTCCCCTTCCCCTGCCTTTCCTACTCTTTGGGCTCTGCATGTCCATTACCACTTTGTGTTGGTAGTTATGGTTAATGTGATGACTATACAGAGGTGTGTCATAAAAGCGATCCACATGAAAACTAACCTCCTTTCTGCTCTTCTCTCTATTTAATTAGAGTGGGAGAAGGACAGGGCAAACGCACAGCCATGGAGGGGGTTAGAGCAGAGGATGCAATTGCATGTTTTTTACAGCAGTCTGTATTTATATTCCTTTTTTAAGTTCCATGGTTAAGCTGATCATGGAAACTAGAGCTTAAAAGATTAATTTTCAGGTACTATGCAAGAGTAATTGATCAGCTGTTTTCAGTATTTATTCTTTTTATTTCAGGTTAGAAGTCGACTTTATGTAGGTAAGCTTATTTTTCATACTCTTTCTTTGGAGTATGACTTTTTCTTTTTTTTTTTCTTTTTTATTTCTTTTCATTATTTGGATGTTGCAACACTTAACTGTCTTCCTTTTTTTAGGAAGAGAAAAACAACTTGCCAATAAAATTGCTGAACTAGTTGAAGACAAATGCAAAATTCTTGAAACACTCAGCCTTTGCAAAAAAGAGGTAATGGTCCTTATGTATTGCTTTCAGATGCGTCATGGAAATGAGTTCAATTTTTCAAGTATTTGAAGTATTAAACTTATCTAAAAGGAAAACCTTTTAAAGTGATTCTTCAAATGCTTTTTCCTGTCAGTGCCTTTAAGTGCAATTAAGGTGTTAGCAAGTTCTGCCTTTAACTCTTAATATGATATATTTCACTGGAAGCAACTTTGAAATGTCTTTGTTTTATGCCACTGGGATTATCAGCTAAGGCTTTTCTGATTTCCAGCAAGGTGCTCTTGTGAATATTTAGGTGGTGACTATGTTTCAGAATAGAGCATCATAAATTAATGCTGTTATTTAAGGAATTCTTTACATACATTCTGACATAAAGTACTTCATTTTCAGTTTGAAGATTTAGAATTGTCCCTGAAGGATGGTAATGTTATGAAAGAATCAAGAGAGACATCTTTTTTTGAGGTAAAAAGCTAAATGGAAAGCGTTATTTCTACAATTTCAGGAAAATACTGCCCATATTACAAAAAAAAAACCCACCACACCAAAAACCAAAAGCAACAGTAAAAAACTCCAAAACAAAACCTAAAAACCCTTAATTGTTTTATTTGAGAGCATTGTTACTTTCGTCTTGGGTTAGTGAAAATGACATAGAAGCAAGGCATATGAATTAGGAGAGTTTTTTGTAATAGTTGCATTAAAAATGATTGATACTAGAGCAAATGGCATATTAGATAATATTTAATTTTTTTAAAAGTAACTTTAAAAAGTTCCTGTTTCTGGGAGAGAGTAGTGCATGAAGTATTTTTTTCTTGCATCTGATTTAATGAAAATGTATTTTATAGGCTACTGGAGCACAGTTCTAAACAAAAATTACTGCTACATTGTTTATGTCCCCCAAACTGAGAATATTTTTGTAAAAGAATTCTGAAAAAGTGAATCAAATACCTAATGGGCTCTCTATAATTTATGTAACCAAAAAGCAAATAGATTTGTTTCATTCTGTGCCTCAGATCCCATAGAGCTAATTTTTACAGATTTTGTTAACATGCAAGAGTCTCTAGAATACTTTGCAATTTATCCTTGATAGCGTGAAATTTGTTAAACACACTTTGCTGTCATATTTAAAACATACTTGTCTTAGTATGTGATTAATGTAAAATGTTTTATGTTAACTGTCAAAAAACTTGATTTAGGAAATGTATGAAGAACTGAACAAGTCAAGACTGGAACTCAACCAAGAAATAGAGAATCTAGAAAAAGAACTGAAAGAAGAAAAATCTAAGCAATCAGAAAATTATAAGTTGGTAAGAATAAATAGAATCCTGTCTTTGTTACTATTCATTTAAAAAAAAAAATTCCCCCAAAAAATTCTCTGTGTAGGAGATAAACTATTCTCTTTGGGCTTTTTGAAACAAAAACTACATTTCCCGTTTTGTCTCCCCCCATACTCCCTATAGCTTATTGGAAAAGTGACACCCATAAAGGAAATACTCAAAAAAAGAAAAGCTGTTTTTACTGATTTGGTGGTAGAACCTTCTGAGTTTGAAAATTAACATAACTTTATTAGTTGCTTAGACCTTTTCAGTCAAATCTGTGGAAGAAGCTATATGACAACTAATAATTTTCAGGTGGCTGAAATTCAGGAGAGAGTGGAGTCTTTAGAGAATGAAATAAAATCTATCCAGTCACAAATTGATGAGGTATGTTCGATCTTTATAGTTTCTGTTTTCAGATCTTTGCGATTTCTCTGTTCTGCATGTAGTTACTGTTTTAATTTCTTTTCTATTAAAGGTGCTGAAATAATATGCTGTGTAAACCAAAAGACTTTGTAAGGCTTAGTAAATTTTGTGTGACTTGATTTGGCAGCTTTGAATTTCATATACTGATTGGCATTGATTAGGAAGTACAGTTACTTTGTCTTTTCTTTGCCCTCTTACTCCCTGACCATATGTAGTGTTGCAAAACTACAATCAGCAAAAACTGTTGAAAAGGTAGGGAAAATGTGAGAATAAGTATATAGCACAGTTAGACAACCTAAGAGTAAGTCCAATACCACCATCGTGACCGTTTAAACAACGTGCTTTTTTATTTCACTTAGGCCAAGTCCACTCTAAAAGTATATCAGATTAATACAGAAAGACTCAAGACATCCGTTCAAGATGCAGTAGATGAAAACTGCCATCTCCAAGAAAGTGAGAAACAGGTAGATTCTTCTTAGTTATTCTTAGAAATACTATATTTTCTTATGATACTATGTAAATATGATTTGTCAAAGGAGCTTTGTTAATACCCCTTGTGTGTTCTGTCTAGTAAATGGAATGAGGGAGAGGATGTGGCTTTAAAATTATTTTATGTTGGAATCACTTTGTCTGAAGTAGTCCTGTTTTAAAAGAAATTTAGTAATTAGAGTTTGTGGGGAAACATGCATAGAGTTCAGTGAGAAAATGAGCATATGATAATGTAAGATTAATAAGAATTTTTGCTGAGTCCTGGAGGAAAGCAGAAAGATTTGAGCAAGTCCACAGGTAGGATCTTCTTTAGAGGCAGAGAGAAAATGCTTATACTTGATCCAGAAAACAAAAGAAATTAAGAAATTGCAGAGCATGCAAAAGGCAGGTAAAAAACTGAACTGTAGTACCACTATGGATGAATTTATGGAAAGTCAGGTAAGTAATAAGAAGGGACAGAAAACTGTTACTTCTCAGATTTTAGCTGTTTATTTTCCTCAGTGTCATAGCCAGATCCCAAAGAATGCTGATTATTTTGAAGTATTCAGCATATGCAATATGTGTTCTGTGCAATAATAACTGATTTTTCCAATGAAATTATTCTATTTTTTTTTCTAACAAAAAGATATTCTCTCTGAACATTAAATGTTCCATGGAATGTTTTCGGTTTTTGGGTAGTTTTGGGATTGTGTGGTTGGTTGGATTTTTTTAATAGATATGTACTTCTTTTCCTGACTGATGATCTCCTTGTTATCTGAACAGTAACTGATAGATACCTTGTGGGAAGGGGGAGTCAAAGTACAGGCCTGTTGGTTTTTAGCATTCTCATAAAAAGCTGGGGAGTGCTTTATTCCTCTCTGTCGAAACAGTGTGCATATCAGACTTACTGATTCAGGGAAAAAAAAGGGTTACTGGAAATAGAGAAC